AGGCATTGTAGTTTTGAAATGCTTTCTGGGTTTCTGAAGGAAAATGAAATGGTTCTGCGTTTAGATCCACACGTGCACTTACAGAGCCTTGATGCTGGGGAAAGGCTGTGTCTCATTCTGTTGGTGGGAAGCCAGCGTTTCCTCCCATGGTGGTTTCTAGGGCTTTCATCAATTACCACAAACTTTATGGCTTAAAACAGCAGAAATGTATCTCTCATGGATGCCTAAAATCCAAAATCAAGGTGTCAGTAGGGCCACCCACCTTTCTTTCCCGTTTCCAAGCTTCTAGACATTTCCTGGCTATGGCTATAAGGCCACATGATCTCTCTTTGGCCATTCCCTTATAAGCACACCTGCTGGATTCAAGGCACACCTGGATAATCAAGGTGATCTCATCCTGAGATTTTTTTTAAAAACTATTTTGGGACCCCTTTTCCAAATATAGGCCATGCTCACAGGTTCTGGGAATTAGGATCCTACTTTCTGGGAGGCCACCGTTCCATCCTCCGTCCTTCATATGTTCCCCCATTTCTAACTGATCACCTGTACCCAAGACTTCTATGGTTTTGAGTGGCTGTGGTGAGATCAAGCCAGCGTGCACTTCACTCCCCGATGCCCAAAGCCAGGTAGAGCAGACCCCCTGCTGTGTGTCTGAAGGTGCTGACGCCCCCATCCACCAAGATGAACACCCCTGTTCCTTCCATCCTTGCTCTCAGCTGGCTGACGTTCTCCTGATCAGTCATCCTGGGTGTGCCTCTGACGGACACAGAGCAAGAGAGAATGCTGCATTTATCCCTGAAGACCAAGCAATGAGGTCATGTCTCTTCCACTAACTAAACAGGTGACCAAGGCATCGGTTTCTTTGCAATAATAGTGACACTGTTGCAAAGTCAAGTCGAGCGCTTGTCACTTGCCCAGTCATTCCCAGGTTTAGCCTCGCGGCTAATCCCACAGGGACCACATTAGCATCTGGAAGTCCTGTCTCAGATCTGCCCTCATTTTGAAATGGCCCTGTAGGATGAGCTCCAAATCATTTGCACACATCATCTGTTTCTTTAATTCAAAAACTATTTGTTTAGTGTCTATTTGTTTAGTGTCTGTTAGTAAAAGCAAAAGAAGAACAGAATCAAACCTGTCTCTAAGCTGGTCACAATATAGCTCATGCTTATAATCTTAATACTCAGGAGGCTGAAGCCAGGAGGATTGCCTGGATTTTGAGGCCAGCCTGAGCTACATAGTAAGTTTTAGGTCAGTTGTCTGGAAAAAACATCAACAACAAAAGAACCAGTGTCTATCCTTTGAGAGTTAGCCATGTACTAAGGGAGATATATTAGTATGCGGAGCCATGTACTAAGAGAGACATGAATTAATCAAATAATCACACAGTATGTGCAAAATTACAAACTGAAGTGACTGGGAGAAGGAAGTGTGCAGGTGCATTAGGATGTGTGATCACTCAAAGTGGTGAGAACAGGCATGGGAGACAAGATAGGCTCCTGGACCGAAGCCACCTCCTCCCCCGCCAGGCGCCAGTGACCAGGCGCCAGTGGTACGGACCTCAGGTGGACTTCTCCCACATACGCTGCGGCCATTGCTTTCTGCTTCTGTGATTTTCACAGTAGGTGCAATCCTAATAGAACTTGGAAATGTTTTTAAGTTGGAAAATAACTTAATATTGGCTATTAGTTGTGTGTGGTATTAATAATCCATATCGAATATATTAATAGTAAATATATGTTTCAGCGTACAGTTATTTAATGCTATCCTTTCCTTCCTGTTTTTTGTTTGGCTGATTGGGTTTTTTTGAGACAAGTCTTGCTATGTAGCCCATACCGACCTTGAATTTGCAATCCTCCTAGGCACTGGGGTTCACAGGCATGTCTCACCACGCTGGCTGTAATACTCTCCTATAATAAGTCCCTTTTGGCTGAGTTCTGTCTAAGCTGTCCATGACTTGCAAATGTAATTGAAATAAAGCCTTTGGTTTTAATAAAGCCTTTGGTTTTAATAAAGTCTTGGGTTCCTATCTTACGCCCTGATGGTGATAGGCTTACGTTTGTAGTGGCCTCCACCTTTCTAGGTTGCTGAGGAGGTCTAGATACCCATGTGCCTCTGCAACAGGAGATGAATGTGGACGTTATAAACAAAGTGTTCACCTTGAAGTGACCCATTAAGAATGTAGAAGGAGAATGAAACGTGAACTCTGTCCTGACTCCTGGTCTGTTCTCAGCATTGCCCTGTTCCAACCTTTGGCTCTAATCACTCTCTGGTTTTGTTTTAATGTTACACACATACCTTATGGCTCTTTCCACAAAGTCCCAGAGCAGTCATAATAAAGTCAAATGTTGTGAGATCCAGTTTTCACAAATGTAGAGGTTTGGTTTTCAGCGTGAGCTGATCTCAATTTACTCTTATGGTATATGGAGTTTCTGGATTTATAACTTGAACGTGGAGATAACTTTGGGTTGGGAGAACTGTTCAGAGAGTCTACCTATGTGGGGTAGCTTATAGAATAACCCTACAGTGGGCAGATTCCTCTAAAGAGCCCCATGGTTGGGTCCCCAGATGGGGAGTTGCCAGCACCCCAGACCATGAGTGCAGCTGGGTCCCAGGCACCTGGCAGACACCAAACAAACAAACAAAACTGGCGTCACACTGCTGGTCGCCTTTGCTGTCCTTTTCGTTCCTCTCCACTGGGGACACACACACGTCCTAGTTTATGTTTTACTGTCCCAGTTAAATGCTGAGCCCTGTGTTCTTGATGGGTGTTGAAAACATTTGTTTTCCTTTAGTAAATTTTTAGTTCACGACCTTGCTCACTCCCCAATGCCTATAATTTTACAGCACATCAGATTTACCTTTTGGATACTATGAAACCATGGCTCTTGAGAATTTAATAGAAAGCTTTTAAATTGTATTTCCCTCCTTTATTTTATTTGAAAATACTATCCCTTCCAGGCTTTTTTTTTAATGCCTTTTTTCTTCAGGCAGTTGAGACAATCAAGTTTGTAATTATTCCACACTCTTCATTTCACTATGGTTATGTTATTCTTGAGAGTAATTCCACATTGCAGAACCAAGCAAGGTGGCATTTGCTGCATGACTCTAAGTTGGGGTTGATTTTTTTTTAATTAATATGTGTTCAATTAATATGTGTTTGTCATGTTGGGTTTCAGTTAGTTTCTTTCAAATATATCATGAACTTTGACTCCACTCTCTCTCTCCCTCCTGTGCCCTCCCTCCCCTCCTGTGCCCTCCCT